AAGAATATTTGTTTTCTTGATATTGAGATGCAATCCATACTGAAGGCTGCATTCCTTGTGGAACTGACTGTGAAATATCTAATACTAGTGTAACTGAAATATAGTGGATGGCTTTCACAGAGCTCTATTTCCTCACATATATAGGAGACTAGAAGACTGAAAAGGAGCTCTAGTGGGATCCACAGGGAATTTCACTGCTAACCCAAAAGCAGCATCTAGCTGGTGATTTGAATCTATCTGGGCACCAGAGGAAAAAGATGAGCGCTTTCCTTCAGGCGAGATTTGCAACCTGGAAATCTGCTGCAGGGTTGGCTTTGTGCTGGTTCTGATTTGACAGCAACTGATTGAGAGCCTTCTGGATGCAAGGAGGCTGCAGGGAATGGCCTTCCTTATCTGATGCTCTCATGGAAGGTCCTTGTTTCCTTTATACATCTGTGGACCCAAGCATTCCTCTTAGCATCAGTCCTCCCCTGGGTTTAGGAGGTTCTCATCATAGGGATCTCAGGCTCAAGGTCTTCTTCCAGGCCCCAGCTTGCTCTTGGTGGAAGTCAGGTCCCTCTATCTCTGCTTGCTTCTTCAATCTCTTTTATGTCTCAAAAGAGATTGACAAGATACAACTGAATCCTCTAGAGTGTGTCCTACTCCATTCATATGATTCTCTATACTCTGGTCTCATTTACAACACATAGGATCATTACATCAGACCACAAAAACAAAGTATAATTATATAATACAGAAGGATCAAGACTTTGCGAAGTTGAGACATATTATTAGAGGACATAATTAAATTTATAACAGGGATTAATCAGTTCTGGAGAGCACTGCAAGCAGGGTCTTGCTGGGACAGCCCAACAAAGGGACATTTAGCTGCCTGGTAATCTGCTGATAGGTGGGGGGCAGGGGGTGTGGACATAGGAGCATAGCTCTGATTGTTGAGGGCCCAGGAGGGCTCTGAGGTCCTCCTCTCCAATCACTTGGCCCCACTCCTGCCCACCACCTCAGACCAGAGCTGTTGTTGTTAGGTGTGAATTGGTTTGTACTCACAAAGATTCCGTGTGTAACAGAGTGAAGCATGCCCGGCTCTGCACCATCCCGACAGTCATTGCAATGTGTCAGCCCTCTGTTGCCACCACTAAGTCAATCCATATCATTGAGGGTCTTCCTCCTTTCCCTCACCCTCTGTTTTACCAGGCATGGTGTTCTTTTCTAGAGACTTGACTCTCCTAATAACATGTCCAAACTATGTGGGGTCACAGCTCACTCGCCTCCCTTCTAAAAAGGTTCTAACTATCCCTCCTCTAAGACAGACTTGTTTTTCTGATGGTCATGGTATAGCCAACATTCTTCAGCAATACCATGTTTCAAACACATCAATTCTTCAGTATTCTTTATTCCTTACCCCATTTTTGTACGTATAGGATAAGAGGCAACTGAACACACTTGGATCAGAAACACCTTAGCCTTTGACATGATGTTTTTTTTAAATTTTTTAATTTTCATTTTATTATTATTGTGTGTGTGTCTGTGTGTATGTATGTGTACCATAAAATTGGATCTGATTGGTACAAGAGGAGATTGTCTCTCCTTCTCCAGCAGAGCGTCTGGTGGATTCAAACCACATACCTCTGGGATTGCAGTGCAGTTTCTTGCCACTAGGCCACCAGAGCTTGCCATGATGTTGCTTTTTACGATACTTTAAAGAGGTCAGCAGGCAACAATAAATGAATATCAAACAAATAAACAAATAAATAGAAAATAAATAAATAACTGGGGGAGGGCGAAGCAAGGGTGAGGGGGTAAAATGTGAACAGTGAATGCATGAAAATCTAACTTCTCTGTAAATGTTCATTAAAATAATAATTAAAATAAAATTTTACAAATAATAATAATAATAAAAAAGAAGTCAGCAGATTTGCTCAATGTAATGATTTCTAAACTGATGCTTCCCTGGGCCTGGATTGTGGATCCCAGTAAAAGGAAATCCTTGACAACTTCAACTCTTTAAAAATGCTTTATTGTCATTTGACTGAAAGGTTACAGAGCAAATCCGTTTTCCAGTCAACAATTTATACAACCCCCACATTGTAACTGCAACCTACTCACTTCCTCTTTGTGTTTCTCATTTCCACTAGTCCTTTTCTAACCCTTCCTGCTTTCTGAGCGTTATCCTGGGACAGAAACTACCTATTTGGTCTTGTATGGTTGATTGTTCTCAGGAGTGTACTACTCTCACGTGTTACTGATCATCTTACAAACCAGTCAATTATTTGGCTGGAAGTTGAGCCTTGTGGGTGGTTTCAGTCCCAGGCCTGAAGGCTGAGGGCCAGAGCCAAGGGAGTTTTACCAGTCTATTAGACCAGTAAGACTGGTTGGCAGCTTCAATCTCTTCTCCTTCTATCATGGTGTTGTGTATCGGTCCATTTGGGAGGATTTTAAATTTTATTTATGTTGAGGTGTAATCCATATTGATAGCTTTAATCTTTGAGGTTCATAAGTAAGTACAGCAAATCCTCTTCACTTTTAGCAAGCAAGGCTGGGTCATTACATATCACAGGCTGTTAATGAGTCTTCTGCAAATATTGATACTACACTCTTCATATAGTTCAACTTCTCAGCTTATTTGCTTGGCATACAGATTGAGTAAGTATAGTGAAAGGACACAGCCCTGATACACATCTTTCCTGATTTTAAACTATGCAGTATCCCTGGTTCTGTTCAAACGACCGCATCTTGTTTTATGAACAGATTTCATGGGAACACAAATAAGTGTTCTGGGATTCCCATTTTTGGCAATGGAATCCATAGTTTGTTATTATCTGCACTGTTGAATGCTTTTGCAAAGACAATTAAAATACATGTATATATCTTACTGCTAATAAGTTCAGGTTTCGGTCAAGATTCTTGAGGTGTCAGCAATGATATCTTCCATTCCATCTCCTCTTCTGAATCCATTTTAATTCAAAACTTTTCTGAAGAGAATTTAGAGAAGAGCTGCATTGACAGGGATCTGCTGGCAATGTCAAGCTGAATTTGGGCCAGAGATAGCCTGAACAAAAGGAGGGTGCTCTGGAGATGATTGTTGTCTGGGGGAGGCTTGAGCAGAAGCCTGAAGCATCAGATGCAAGGAGAATATTCTTGGAACAGGGAGAAGTCATATGCAGCTGGAGCACCAGGACCTGGGGAAACTGAGGCCCAAAAAGTGCAAAGCCAGGACCCTTGACTGCCTAGTTGTCCTGGCCCTCTGTCCTCCTAGCCTGCTCTGCTTTAAAAACCTCATCTCCTAGCCCTTAATTCTTGGTTTTAATCTCCTTCACGCCCAGTTCAGAGGCACCTGTGGCTCAACAGTAGAATATTTTCCTGGGTTCAATTTCAGCCGGTGCACCTCATACAAAGCCACCACTTGTCTTGTCAGTGTCTTCAGTGTCTTCCTCACTGAAAAGATTTCAGTGGAGCTATCTGACTGACAGACTAGGAAGAAACGCCTGGCAATGAACCTCAAAATAAGCCAAAGAAAATCTATGGATCACAACAGTTTGATCGTCTCTTGATCATACAAGTAGTGTAGGACCCGGAAACATTTAGTTCCCATGTGTATGGGGTTGCCATGACTAAAGATTGTTATCCACAACAGTTTGGAACCCCACAAATTTTGCTGAAGGCGTAGGAGGGGGCGGGACTAGTAGGTTGGAGAGACACGTGCAGCGGCTACCACCTGGTGGCCACTGGCGGTATGAGAGCACACACGACTAGTCTGGAGCTTTTGGGAACCTGAGAACCACGGACCACTGTGGAAAGTATCAGGGGAGGGGAGGCAGAGGCAAGAGGCTAGAGGGCGGGTTAGAGGAGAAGGTCAGAGAAAGAGGAGCAGGTGAATTTGGGGTCTTTAGAGAGAGAAATGTGTCCAGCTATTTCCTTCAGGCTTACGGGCTGCACTCCAAAAGGCAAAAGTTTTGGTAGAATGAACGAATGAGTAAATTAATGAACAGTTTTTCGGGTTTCTAGTTGGAGATTTGAGCGGGACATTCAAGCTTTAGCGACTGACAATACGTTGGCTAGGTTGGGGGAGGACACTGGGCACAGAAGGTGGTCATCGCTGTCCCCAGGGAGTGCCCAGTCCCCTACATTTGACACCTTAATTCTTCAAAGTTCCAGACCCCAGAGTACAATGAGGAGCCTGTGACTCCTGACTCCCGTTCCAGTGCTCCTGAGCCTGGCTTTGCCTGTTGCCCTGAGTGGTTGGCCCCTACTTGATCTGCTCTGCCCTTAGTGACGCTTGTCCCGCCCCCAGATGCCCCAGATGTCCCAGATGTCAGGTCTGGCCTCACGCGATAGCTTCTGCTTTGGGGGTGGTTTCTTCGGTTTCCGGCCCCAGGATATGTCAAAACAGGGACTGCCTCAAGTCCGGCCAAAGGGATGGGGTCACCCCAGCCTTTGAGTAGGCCAAGGGTTTATGACTTGTGCCAACCTTTGTAGCCTCAAGAGAGCTACTCTGAGGGAGGGCAGAAGGGCAGCAAGTGAAGAAGCTGCTCCGTAACCTGGCTTGGAGGGTTTGGGGGAGGGGGTCATAGGGATTGTACTAGTGTTGTCTTCAAGCCTGTCAGGTGGTCGGCTTAGACAAAAGGGAGCGGCAAGAGGCCTTCCCTTGGTGGGGGGCGGGTCACTGAAGGCAGACTTCAGGACAGATGGGACCTCAGAGAGACAAAGCCTCAGTGGCCCCATCTGTATAATAGAGCAGCAACAGTGGCCCTCACTGGGGCTGGAGGTTTCAGGAAAGTATGAGAATGTCTGGTTATGTGGGTGCCTGGTATGCAGTAGGTGCTTAATAACGAGTTTTCCTGCCTTCGATGGTGCATCTGTGCATCCTGCTGCCATGTCCATAAGGCAAGGAGGGTATTATTACTCCTGTCCTTCAAGCCTCGTTGTGCTGAGGGTCCCAAGCCTGGGAGTCTGCATTAGATCTGAAAGCAGCAGATGTCCCTCTGCCAGACCACTCTGCCCACCAGGTCCTGGGGCCTCAGAGACTAGATCCTTCTCCTCGCCAGTCCCAGTGGGGGCCAGTCGGCCTTCCTGGCCTTCGTCCCAGAAAGTCTCCACCACCAGAGCATCCTGTGGGGGTGCCACTTCCGGGAGTCCTGGGGGCCTGGTCCACTGCCAAACCTAAAGGCAGAGGGGTGGGGCCAAGGCTGTGGGCGGGCCTTGCTTCCCACCCACAGGAGGTCCCTCCTGGCTAAATTCACTAGGATTTTGAAACTAAGTCTAGTCGGGACCCTTTTATGACCCCATCACCCTCTTAGGAAGAGCATCCTCATTCCTTTGGGTGTTATGCTTCCCCATCAGCTGGTGTGGTGGAGCACCACGTGCTGCTTCTACTCCATTTTTTAGAATGGGTATGTAGGCGAGCTCTGGTGGCCTAGTGGCAAGAAGCTGCACTGTAATCCCTGAGGTGTGTGGTTCAAATCCACCAGATCTCTGCTGGGAAAGGAGGAACAATCTCCTCCTGTACCAGTCAGATCTGATTTGACGGTACACACACACAAATAATAAAGTAAAAAAAAAATAAAATTAAAAAAATAGAATGGGTGTGTAAACCCGGCCTAGCCAATCAGAGCATCCCAGCCTAGTTCTAATAGGGTGAACACATGACTCCAGTTAGCCAATCAGACATGGCCCTGAGACTTTGGCTTGAATTAATCAAGTGGGTAGGGCTCTCTGTTTTCACTGGCTAGAGAAAGGCCAGCACCTCGGTGTGATTTTTCCCCCCCCCTAGTATGGGTACTGCAAGGAAGGGACCACAGCAGCAATAGGAGAGAGAATTTTCATCCCTGGATGTATCTGTTTGTAAAGTCCATCACCTTAGGATTTTCCACCTGCTTGTTTTTTTACTGAGGGACATGACTGACAGGCAGTTCCTCTCTGGGCCTCTGTCTGCTTGTCTATAAAATGAGGAAGGATTTAGAGCACTGGATTTAGAGTCCAGACCTCAAGAAGTTGAGGGAGAATAAAATCAGCTGATGCACGGCCATTGTGTAGCAGAGCCCACTCCAGATTATGGTAAACATATTAATAAGTAAAACCTGGAATTAGAAAAGGATTGCTTACCTGTTTCTCGTGGCTGCTGGGGAACTCCACCGCAGTGCTGGCACAGGGCGTGGGTAGGGGTGGGCACAGGTGCCGCGCAGCCCTGGAAAGGGAAGAGGGGAGCTGATCCGGGGAGTCCTGCTTCCGCTGTTCTTAGCCTTTAATTGTACTAACTTAATTTTTCATTCTTTTTCCTTGTTCTGATTACTTTTTTCTCCCCCTCCCATCACTGTTAGACTATAAAAGAAAACCACTGAGGATATGGAGTTGGGGAAAGGCTGAAATTTGACAGTCCTGGGTTCAAATATCAGCTCTGTCCACCTAGCCTCGGTTTCCTCACCTTTAAAATGGAGCTAGCAAATACCTCGCGTGTGTGCTCTTGTGGCTATCACCCTCATCATTGCTGATCCTTTCAGGGCGAGAGCAGGAAGTTACCTGATCAGGACAAAATACCCAAGAACCCCAAGGATGAGGACCACCACGAAGCTGCCGAGCGACACCAGGGAGATGAACAAGTTGGAAACTGGAACATCTGGAAGCAAGCGAGCTCAATTAGGGTGGGAGTGGGGGACGCTCCTGACACGAAGAGGGGTGGGAACTGGGGTAGCGGGGCTTGAGCGTGGGTGGGCCAGGCCTTCCATTGACTAACCATGGGTCCCTCTGTGCCTCAGTTTTCTCGTCTGTAACAGGGTGCCATGGACACCCCCCCACCGCCCACCCTCCCAACCCGTGCCTGGGCTTATTAAGTGCTAAAAACACTGCAGCACCAGCTGCTTGTGGGTTCTACCCCTGGAAATTTCTAACACCCTTACCCCAGCCCAACTCTGATCCTAAATCTAGTTCTCTTGGGGCCTGATTTCACTGCGAGAACAATGAGAACAGAGACCGTGAGGGCTCCCAAACTCTTATGACTATGAATGCTGAGATACAGCACCTGTCTAGTCATGTGATGGGAGACATACTCAATTGTTCACTCATTCATTCCACAGCTTCCCCTCTACAGTTCCCCAGAGTCTCAGACTGGAGGACAGAGTGGGACACAGTCACCCCTTGCCTCAAGAAGCCAGAATGAGACAGTGCAGTGCCAGCGGCTCGAGGTGCCCATGGGGAAGCAGGGCAGGCCTTCTGGAGGAGGGAGTTTCTGAGCTAGGTTTTGAAAGGATAAATACCAGTAGGAGTTTGATAAGTGGGACAGAGGGTGGAGAAGATACCAGGTAGAAAGAAGCATTTTCATGGCACCACCCTCTTATTCCCACTCCCAACTCTGTTCCCCATCCCTTCCCACCCTTTCCCCCAAAAAAATTCTCTAGGAACAGCTGCCAAGCTTGAGATGGGAAGAGAGGCAGAGGAAAAATCCCAGGGACAGCATGGCTGCATCCTGATGAGAGGCCTCTTTGCAGTCTAGGGTGAGGTCAGGGCAATGCATGCTGGGTAAATAACTGGACCGAGGCTTTGCCCCCACCACTGACCGATGATGAACTGCTGCGGTTGGCTCCAGGAGCCAGGCCCCAAGGATGAGTCTGCTCGGACCTGAACCGTATAGGTCATGCCGGACTGCAGGCCATGGAGGGTGACCTGGGTTTCTGTGGCGTTCAGAACATGTTCTGCAGACAGAGGAACAGGGAAAGTTGGCATGGCCCTCAGGAGAGATACCCATGTGAAACTGAAGATATTGGAGTGATATGGCCATATATGCAGGAGGAGCTGGGGAAATGTCTAGAGTCGGAGGGAGGGAGGGAGGGAGGGAGGATGGGACTGAGGCCCTGTCAACACTGTGATGCCAGACTTCCGGTCTCCAGGATTGCAAGAACAGAAATCTCTGCTGCTCTAACTTGCCAGCTATGACACTCTGTGACAGCAGCCGAAGTAACTCATGGCACCACTGATCCCCCTGCAGCCTCAGACTTCCTGCAGAAACCTCCCGTTCGGGTGGCCGAGCTGACAGCACCATGTTGAATGTTTAGTGTTGGAGCATCTTCTTGCATTCACTTCTATCCCTGGCAGGATGCTTTAGGGGACAAAGGACACAGCCCTGTGGTGTGGTGGGTTGGGCTTGTACCTGCCAGAGATAGGCAGGCAAGGCCTTATCTGCAAGGCTGTGTAACCTGTCTGAGAGGCAGAGGGTGAGAAGTGAATTATGCAATTAAGAGAAGGCTCCCGCAGGACAGGAAGTGGGACTGTCTGAATTTCCTTATGGCTGTGGTAACAAAATGCCACAAACTGGGTGACTAAACAGAATAGACATCCACTCTGCTACCATCCTAGAAGCCAAAAATGTAGAAGCAGGATGCAGGCAGGGCAACGTCCCTTCCAGTTTCTGGTGGCTCTGGGCATTCCTGGGCTTTTAGATATGTCGCAGGGATAGGATTGCTGTTAGCACTTCTTGAGTTGGTCGCACCTCATAGCCTAGAAGAGCATCGAAGCTTTTCTTCTTTGCTGACCATCTACTTTACCAAGAGTGATGTAGTCCAGTGTGGCCTCACGTTAACATGACTGATAAAAACCAGGTGTCCTGGAGTCGATTCTGAAATATACTCAGTGTGTCAGAGCCAGAATGCTCCATAGGGCTTCCGAGGGTAGATCTTTCAGAAGTGAATTGCCAGGACTTTCTTCCAAGGTGCCTCTAGGTGGACTTAAACTGCCAACCTTTCCATTTGCAGCTAAGCACATTGACTATGTACACCACGGAGAGGTTCCTATCAAACTGAGAACATCTGCCAAGACCCAAGACTCTGCTTCCTGCCAAGCTCTGGTGGCCTGGTGGCAAGAAGCTGCACTGCAATCCCAGAGATGAGCAGTTTGAATCCACCAGATGTTCTGCTGGAGAAGGAGGGACTATCTAATCTTTTCCTGTACCAGTCAGATCCAATTTGATGGTACACACACACAAAATAATAATTTTTAAATTTTTTTTCTTTTTGCTTTTTAAATTTTTTTTTTAAAGACTCTGCTTCAAAGCAAGGTCTCATGCCCAAGTATAGGGTTTAGAACTTGGACATCTCTTTAGGGGACCCAATTCAACCCATAACTGGGATCTTCTCTGGTGAGTTTTAATTTCTTTTCCCAGGGAGGGGGGCAAGAGAAAGGTCTATAGGTGGTGGGTTTGGATCCACACTCCAGTGCTGTGGTAGAAAGTCCTGGTGATCTGCCTGCATAAAGACTGCAGTTAAGAAAACTCTTTGGAGCTCCGTTCTATCTGTAATGTATGGAGTTTCCATAAGCCAGAATCAGCTCTCCAGAAAGGGGGAAGGGGCCAGGAATAGTCCAGACTTGTTCCATCATCGAGCTAGTGAATGCACTTCATCAAGCCTCAGTCTCCTCATCTGTGAAATGGAGACATTAATGTCCACTTCGTGGTGTCAGTTGCTCATATGCATGAGAAGTTGTCAGCTGTGTAGCCACCACATACAACACCGAGAGCACTGGCTGGCATTTCCTGGATACCTAACTCCAGCATTCACTCCAAAGACAGAGTCAAGTGGATCTGGGTTCAAATCCCTACTGCTCCTTCTCTGAGGGTATAGGAGGGAGTATCCAGGGCCTCTTAACACCAGCAGTCAGGAAATCAAAAGACAGATTGCATTGGGAAAATCTGCTACCAGGGACCTCTCCAGAGTGCTGAAAAACAACAATGTCAATCTAGAGACTAAGGTGCGCCTGATCCAGGTCATGGTCTTTGCAATTACTTGCAATGTGTCAGAGAGCTGGACAGTGACTAGGGATGACAGAAGAATAGATGCTTTCGAATTATGGAGAAGAGTCTTTGGACATACCATGGATTGCCAAGAAAACAGACAGGTATGTCTTGGAGAGAATGAAATCAGGTTTCTCCTTGGAGGCTAGGATTTTGAAGCTCTGTCTCACATGCTTTGGGCATGTGGCCAGGAGAGGCCAGTCCTTGGAGAAGGACATCATGTACGGAAGAGGGGAGGGACAGCTCAGGAGAGGAAGGCTATGGATGAGATGGATTAATATAGTAATTGGGGCAATGGGAGTTGGTGTGTTGGAATTAGTGAGATTGGCTCAGGACAGGGCAGGCTTCAGAGCTGATGTACATAGGGTCACTAAGAGTCCAGGTGACTCAACGGCACATTAACAGCAACAACAAAATCCAGGATCTTAAATGCTATGATTCTTTGTTTCACGCAGATGGGACCAGGGAGGTCCAGAGAGGGCCAGTGAGGTGCCCAGAGTTACACAGCCAGGCTGAACCCCAGTGCAAAGGGCACCCCCTACACCCACTCCTTTGCGTACCTGCCACCTGCCTGCTGTTCTTATCCCAGCAGCGCAGGACATGTCCTTGCAGGATGCCCGGGCAGGAGCTCAGTGGTGATTCTGTCCAGCGCACCAATACGGAGTCTATGCTGTGTTTCTTCACTGAGACTTGCTGCGGGATCCCAGCCCCTGAGGCTGCAACATCATCACCAAAAAGCACTGCTTGAGTGTCTTCTGTATACCCACCCACAGCACTCTCTAGAGACACAGCAACCTTGGATTGAGACAAGGTGGCCGGAAGTCCCAGTCAGCTCCTAAATTACCCTGTGCAGCATGATCTCATCTTGTAGAAAAGACTCAGGGCAGGATCTCCTAAAGAACTCTTATTCATACATCAAAGTCTTTGCACCAATGTCCATTCTTGTAGGACCCCTTCACTATGATGCCTCCTGCTTAGTTCATCTGCCCTCTGAACCCCAGCTACTATTTCATGGGTTTGATATAATTTAGTAATTGTCCCTTCTCCCCTCTGAGCCTCAATTTTTGTACCTGTAAAATGGGGCAAGGCTGTTCAGAGTAGCTTCGGTATCAATTGAGCTGAGTTCTGGCAAGGGCCCGACACACAGTTGTTGTTGTTAGCTGTTGTTGAGTGTGCCCTTGACTCATAATGACCTTGGCCCAACTGAACAAAATACTGCCTGGTCCTGCACATCCCCACCATCAGCCACAGTTTGGATTATTGTGACTCACAGTGTATTTATGAGCTGAGTAGCCAGGCCTTCCTTCCTGGTTTTACTTAGTCTGGAGTTCTACTGAAATCTGCTTAATATCCTATAGGAAGATGCTTGCCTCCCCCGACAGTCCGATGGTGACTGTGAACTGCGCGCATCACTGGAAGTTGAACACGTCTCCTTCACGGGCAGTGAGAATTCTACCCTTCAACCACCACTTCCGCCTGACCTTGTCCCTTAGAGCAGGGGCTTCCAAATGCTCTTATCTCCTCTAGGGAGATGATCCCAGAGGTTTGGACCACTCACCATTCCCCAAGAAGTGGTAGGTGGACAGGACTGTGGACCACGAGGCAAACTTCTTCGGGTGCTCTGAGGCAAAAATGGTGAATCGATAACACCTCTCCTGCTCCATTGTCCCCTGTGCTGGTCTCCAGCTGTAGGTCACTAAAAGAATGAGGAAAGGTCAGGTCCCATCACTGCCCCCCTGCTGCTGGTTGTGCCATCTGCACAGAGTCCCTTTGAGAACTCCTATTCATGCTTCAAAGCCCTTGCATCAATATCCGCTCCTCCAAGACTCTTTATCTGTGGGCTCTTCCTCAACTAGTCTACCTTCTCCTGTTCAGCCTTTGCACTATAAAGCAAAAGGTGTCTGTATCCAGTTCTCTACCCTTCAGGCTGGGGGCTTTTCCAGAGCCAGAATGAGGCTTCTTGGGGCCCCAGCTGGACTCAGGAGAGAGAAGGTAGGAGAGCAGGAGGCTGCCTGGATTCCACACTGGCTCCTTTTCCCCTCCAATGAGATCATTAATTTGTCACCCATGTCTTGCAAGCTGACACCCTCCTTGGTGCAGGTAAATGTTTACCAGACACCTTGGGATGTGAGACTTGTCACCTCAGCCTGCCCGGGGCTGAGCCCAGAGAGTCTCAGAAGTCTCAAGACCAGCATGGATGGGAGGGTTGCAGTTATAGCTTGTCCCCACCACTGTTACTATGACCCAGGGGCATCATCTCTTTGCGTGGGTGGGCTACCCTAGGTGGATCACCCCTGTAGGATTCAGCCAGCAGGAGACCTCATAGCGGACACAGAGGCAGAGGTGGGTGCCCTCCAAATACCTGTGCCCGTTCCAGCCACGTCCATGGTCGGGGATATCTTTTGGGTACAAGTGGCATGGCTTCTGTCCTGGCCATGGAGTTGCCACTCAATGCAGTATGCTGTGGCCTGGGCCCGGCCTGTCCAGTGCATTGTGGTCCCCTTGGCTCCAATACTGATATTTAGAACTCCGGGTTCTAGAAAGAGAAAGATTGGCATGGAAGATTCAAATTAGGGGATGCCCCACCTCACTCACTCTCTAGGCCAGCAACCCCACAGGGCTGGAGTGTCTGCATCTGGCTTTGGAAGTAAGAGTGGCATCCACTTCCTAAACAACATGCCTCTGGAAACTCTAGGAACTTTGAGAAAGGATGATAGTTACAGAGAGGCTTCAGGTCTTTTGTTCATGGTGTAGCTATGAGTCGTGCTCAACTCAATGGCAATCAACAACAACAACAACAATAACCCTGGGGACGGCTGGAGGGTGGGCATAGAGGAGGTAGCAGGAGGGCTTTGGAGTGCCCAGTCTGTTCGCGGGCTCCCTGCCATGACCACCCCCCATTAACACTCCCTGTACCACCCTGACTCCCATTGCTAATCAGCAGTGTCTCCTGCTCTTCCAGATGCCTATCCCCCAACACCCCCTCAACCAGAGGAAGGTGTGGCTTCAGGACCAGGACTGCTCAGCTGGATCACACCCCCTGGGGCCTGCACCCCAGGATCAGAGGTACAAGATTAAGGTCCTCCTGTGCCTTGGGCTCATCTCCCTCACGTGGTACAACCAGGGCATCTGGAAGCAGCCTTGGAGAAGTGGGAGCTGCTTCCAATCCCATAGCCATTTCTTACTGAGCACCTGCTGTATACCCTAGGCCAATGCTAAGTGCTTTACTAGTATCACTCACTAGTAAATGGGGCTGTAAGCCAAGCCCAGGCACAGCTTCATTTCTCTCAGTCTTCAGGACCTTAAAATGGATATCGTCACAACAGTCTTGTCTTCAGCAAGCTACTGGGGCATAATAGGGCCAGAGTAAGATGAGGAGAATGAGGAATTCAGTAGGGGCCCCAAATTTCAAGGAGGAGTGGCACAAAAAGTTCTGTGATCAAGATAAGCAACATTTTAATGTAGGTATCTTTAAAATCAAAATTAATAAAAAAATATATATGTTGACATTACACATAAGTCAGGAGGTGGAGAACACCCGAATACTTATCAAGAGATGATGGATAAAGTCAATGTAGTCCATCCACATGATGGAATATCTATCAAGCAGCCACAAGAAGGAATTTATCACTGTTACCTGCTACGGTAGGTATTTAAGCTGAGAATGTAGTGCTAAGTGAAAGAAGCCAGACATAAAAGGCCACTATGGTTCTGTTCATAACAATGTCTAGTACAGGCAAATCCATAGAGACAGAAAACGGATTAGAAGCTGAGCAAGGGAAGGAGGTGGGGAGTAATTGCCATGTGCTGTATAAATCTTGATATGTGACTGTATTATCTCAATAAAAAATTTAGAAAATAAATAAAATATTAATATTCTATTTTTATTATTTTTTGTGTGTGTGTACCGTCAAATCGGATCTGACTGGTACAGGAGACTGTCCCTCTTTCTCCAGCAGAACATCTGGTAGATTCGAATTGCTCACTTCTGGGATTGAAGTGCAACTTCTTGCCACTAGGCCACCAGAGCTTGCCCATAAAATATTAATATTTTAAATAAGGATAGAATCTACCTTGTCTTTTTATAAATACTCACTTACTTCACCCTGATCTTGGTCTTTGTTTCAATAAAACTTTATTGACAAAAACCAAGTGTTTCCCATGATACATCTTCAAGGATATGAACATGTACGGCCAAGCACAATCAATAAGAGTGCATCTAAATTCCAAAATCAATCTCCATAATAGTCTATGTGTTTCCTACTGCCAAGGGGGCCCTTTAGAGTAGTGAGAGAAGATCTTCACCCTGAAACCCACAGCGTCCCTTTTCAGCAGGAAGTAGCTAAGAGAATACGCCATCCCCTTTTCCTTATGACTCAGGGTGAAGTCTCTCTCAGGGAGGAGTGATAGGGAATGGCAAAGGACACACTGACAGGGAAGATTAGTCAGAACTGGCTTTGACAAGCACTGTGGCATTTGGACAAGAACAAACTGGGAGGAGGGTAGAGAGAATAGTGCAACAATGAATGAATGGAAACCCCAAATCTCTGTAAATGTTTATGAAAATTAATAAAATATAGAAAAAAAACAAGTGTTTGCCTTAGTGGGTTGTACTTTGCTCATGAGAGTACACTGCAAAGCATTATAATACTGAGTTACACTATTATATATCCTGATTACTGAGTGTTTGGACTCAACTTAAAATTAGACATCCCCTTAATTTTGTGCATATGGTTCAGAGGAGGTACTCAATTGCAATGGACTCACCCCCATACACCTGCAGAAGTACCTGTATGCTTGTCAGCAGGGATGAAACATGTCTGGTTGGGGCCTGAACCAAAGAAATTCTCAGAAGTGACAGTCACATTATAGGCAGCACCCGAGAGGAGGAGATCTTTCTTTCGTTTCAGAATCCTGCTGGTGTTGGCCTGGCATGGGCAGGACAGCATGTACAGGTGCACGTTGTATGTTGCTTCCATGTCAGCGTCATCGCTCTGGCACCCTTCTGGAAGCTCAAGCTGGGGTGGTGCCTATGAGCACGAGAAGTGGCTTGTCAGGACACATTCACTGTCATAGACAGAGTGATCAGTACACCGCCAGTAAGTTACATGTATCAAAGTGTTTTAAAAAAAATATCACAAACTCTAGTGCTGGCAAAGCTGCTGGAAATTTTGCATTCACTTCTACCGATGATTGGTTTTAGTCTGGGTTGCCAGTTGCCATCGTATGAATTCCAACTCCTGGCTATCCAGGCATGCAGAGCAGACAGCCTGACTCTGATGTGAAGTCACCGTGAGTCAAACCACATCAGCCAAATCAAGTGTAGTGAAGCCATTGGGTGGGGAGTAGTTAGTATTTTTGCCTTTGATCCTCTTTGCAAAAGAGTTTCCCTCTGTGCCTCAGTTTCCTCCTCTGTAAAATGAGGCTGATTAGACTGTACTTAGTTATTTTGGAACCCAGAGAAATTTCACTTCCTCCCATCAACAAATGAATGGAGAGAAAAACCTATGGTATAGTCACACAATAGAATACTACACAGCACTGAGAAACAAAGATTTCATAAAACATTACACAACATGGGTAACCCTGGAGGACATTACGCTGAGTGAGTGTTATGCAGTATTTGTCACAAGAGGACAAATACTGCATAAACACCACTGTTATAAAACAGGAGTGACATGGGGGTTGGAGGGGGAAACTAAGAAAAGAGGGGATACATCATTGCATTGGAATAGATGAAAGAAAGAACTGTTTAAAAGAAATATGATTTGACATTATTTATATGACCACAGTCCAAAATAAGACTGGGGGGGTGGGAGGGAGGAAATTATGCAACAATGAATATTTTTTTTCTAATCTATTTTATTAGATATTTTTATTATTATTATTTTTGTGTGTACCGTCAAATTGGATCTGACTGGTACAGGAGAAGATTGTCCCTCCTTCTCCAGCAGAACATCTGGTGGATTCAAACTGCTCACCTTTGGGATTGAATAAATAATTTTTTTTTAAAGTGAACTAGGTCAGGTAGGAAGGAAAATGTGCAACAATGAAGGAGTGAAAATCCAACTTTTCTGTAAACTTTGGTTAAAATCACAATTTTTTTAAAAAAGAACTCTGACTTTCTCCCCCCTGAGCCAGCCCACCTGCAGTGTCCATTTGGACCAGTTGCCTTGTCTCCTCCTGGCTTCCACCCTCTGCCCCTCCCTTAATGCAGCCTGAGCCCAACTAGGTTCATTACCTGGTCACACCCATCAATGGCTCCCTATTAACTCAACAGTAAAACCAATCATCTGCCTGGCCCCTGAGGCCTGTGTGTCTCCTCTTCTTCCATCTCCCATTCACTCACCTCTCTGCAATCTCTTATTCCCTGCTCCCCATCTCCCACCACACCCCAGTCCTACAATGACCCCAATACCTGCAGAGTCATTCGCCTCCTTCCTTCTGAGCCGAGTGGCTCCACTGAGCAATTCATCTTGAACTGTGGTGGGATTGCTGCAGTAACACAGTGAGAGGACTGAGCTGAGACTGCCTCCTTCGCCTCTCCCCCCATGAAACACAGCACCCAAGTGATTTGTTAGTTTCTAAAATCAGCGGGAATCTCCTTGGGGTCTGTTTCCCAGTCTTGGCTTAGGACAGCAGAAAGCAACAGCTCACCAAGGTCAGAGGCAAAGACTGGGAACTCTCTCAAGCCCCCTTCTCAAACCAGGATCCCAACCCCCAGGAATAGCTATCATCCACGATTCCAGGTTATCCCAACTTTTTCTTTGACATAGTCTGAAACTCCCTTTCTCAGTTCTCTGTTGAGGGCAGCAGCCCATTTAATCATGTTGGGCACATGGTCCCAGTGAAGTTTGGCCTGATGGTCCCCAAACCATAAAGCCCCTTAATGGGTGTAGTGGGGCCCAGGCATCCCCTCCTGAGGGTCTCAGAGTTTATGGTCCAGTCCCTTGCCAAAGAGCAGGATGCATTTCTCCTGCTCTTTTTTCTATTGTTGATGCCTCCTCATTTCTAACCCCCCCACACCTTATTTCTAACACTTGCTGCCTTGTTTCCAAAGCCAGTGCCCCAGGTGCGCTCACCCGAAGGGACACACACAGAGTCACTCCACTGGCTCCAGGGACCTTCTGAGGCATTATCTAATTTGAGCTTCCGCCTCTGCAGCTGGACTTCCTGAGCTGAATCCGGCTCCAGGGGACAAAGGCAGGACTCTGAGGAGAGATAAATCAACCTTTAGGCTGTGGGGCTGCCCCCACCCAGAGTGACCCAAGGCACCACAGTAATCACTCAGCTATTTTGCACTTTACAAGTACTGACTGTACACAGTACTGGGTGCTGGGGACAAGGGAGTTTCTGCCTTTGTGGGGTCTCCAAGTACATCCATTTCTGTCCCTGCCCCAAGTTCAAATCCCCACCAAGCTACTTCCTAGGGGCATGATTTTGGTACCTGGGCATTGGTTTCCTTACCTGTGGGATGGGATGATCAAATACTTAACTACAGAGCAGAGTAACATGCATGCAAAGAGCTTAGCATTGGGCCAAATATACAGTAGGGGTTCAATTAATGTTGCCATTGTTGTTGTTGTTGTTAGTCTTACCTAAGCCAGTATCCTTCTGAGGTTGACAGTGGCCCTAGAATGAGATGACATTTATGTATTGCTTTTCCATTTCAGTGTTAAAAATATTAGTCATTTAAAAAATGACTTTCCTTTGTACATCAGTGTTCACTGCAGGATTATTCATACTGTGAATTCATTCATAAGATGATTAATCAAAAGGTGGAAACAACACAAATGTTCATTATCATATATGCTGTTGCTGTTGTTGTTATGTGCCGTCGAGTCGCCTGCGACTCATAGCGACCCTATGTACAACAGCCCTAAACTCCGCTCTATCCTGTGCCAATCGCACTGTCTCCGACACTCCCATCCCAATTATCCCAGTCACTGAATCAATCCACCTCATAGAGGGCCTTCCTCTCCTGCGCCGTCCCTCCACCCTCCCAAGCATGATGTCCCTCTCCTCACTACATGTCCAAAGTATGTTAGACGGAGCCTCAGAATCCTTGCCTCCAAGGAGCCACCCGGTTTAACCCTCTCCAGGACAAATCTATTTGTTTTCCTAGCAGTCCATGGTATTCTCAATACTCTTCTCCAGCACCACAGCTCAAAGGCATCAGTTCTCCTTCTATCCTCCTTGGTCATTGTCCAACTCTCTGATGCATAACAGGTGATTGCGAAGACTATGGCCTGTATCAGACGCACCTTAGTCTCCAGAGAGACACCACTGCTCTTTAGCACCTTGGAGAGGTCCCTAACAGCAGACTTTCCCATGGCAATGCGCCTTTTAATTTCCTGGCTGCTGGTGCCAAGACTGTTGACTATGGAGCCAAGCAGACTAAAGCTGTGTACAATCTCAATCTCTTCACCATCCATCCTGATGCTGCCAATTGGTCCAGTGGTGAGAATCTTTGTCTTCTTGACATTGAGCCTCAATCCATATTGCAGGCTGCAGCCCTTGACACTCTGCAGCAGGTGCTTCAGGTCCTCCTCAGTTTCAGCAAGCAGGGTTGTGTCATCCGCATAACGCAGATTGTTGATAAATCGTCCACCAATCCTGACCCCACATTTCTCCTCATAGAGCCCAGCCTCCCGGATAATCTGTTCTGCATATAGGTTGAAAAGGTATGGAGATAGGATGCATCCCTGGCGTACGCCCTTCCCAATTTTGAACCATGCAGTGTTCCCTTGCTCTGTTCTGACGACTGCCTCCTGGTCCAAGTATAAGTTTCGCATTAGAACGATCAAGTGTTCTGGGATTCCCATTCTTCTCAGAGTCAGCCACAGTTTGTTATGATCTACACAGTCAAATGCCTTTGCATAGTCATATATGCTAGTAAACAAAATGTGGTTCACGCAGACAATGAGCGGGTGCTGGTGGCGTAGTCCATAGAGAGTTGCCCTGCTAACTCAAACGTCACACCTCTCTGGCAGTACAAATTCACCAACCTGGATGGAAAGATGGCTAATCTCCTCCCACACAGTTTACAGCCTCTGAAAAAAAATGCTGGAGGGTCAGCTATGAGTAGGTTCAGACTGCACAGGAAGGAGAGGGGGGGAAACGTACACAATAGGATATTACTCAGGCAAAAAGAAAGATGGTATTATGTGGATGAACCTCAAAAACATTAGGCTGCTGGGGTGTTTGAACCCTTGAAAATTGGCTCTTCTAGCCGTTTCATTAGCCCCCAGGGAGGGGCACAGTCTCCAACTACCTTCACAGTGAACACATGGTCTTGCAATTCATCAACAGCTGTGGGCTCAATATAGGAGAATGCTTTCCACACTGTGAAAGATGGAGAGATGGTGGTGGAGAGACTGTGGTAAGCTGTAACCAAAGGAACACCTTGGAGATGTAGCCAGTTAGAGCTTTTGTTTGCTGGAAGATTGAAGGAAAAGCTAACTTGTAACTTCTCTGAGATAAAGTTTGCTGGATATTGAGGAAACCAGAGGCTTCTTACATTTGTGCTGCTGAACTGAACCAGGACTTTGACTAGTTGAGAAATTGTGTCTTGCTGGTAATCTAGTTTGGGACTGGTGGACTAAACTTGGACTTGTACTGGTGATATTCTTTGACTCTCCGACTCTCCAACCTATTTTGTAAATAAACCTCACAACTGTGAGTAAAGTCTGTGAGTCTTAGAATGAACATCCGACCCAACGATTGGTAGAAATAGGTGCAGGATCATGGGAGGTGGCATGTCTGATCTCGTAGTAATTACAGTGCTATGGAAATTACTGATGAGGATTCTTCTTTATGAAGCAGGTACAATCAGACTTGGCCAACTTCATATTGCATTTGCTCCTTTTGCAGCTGCATATAAACCAGACACGAAAGGACAGTGTATGATTTCACTAATATGAAATATCCAGAATAGATAAATGCATTGAGACAAAAGTAGATTACTGGTTACCAAGGACTAGGGCTTAAGGGGCACTATGTTTATGCAGTAATTAGAAAGTTTAGGGATCAGAGACACAGGTGCATGTAGCAGAGAAGCTCCCGTGTCTTTCTTTTTGCAAAGATCCTCTCTTTAATAAATTCCTTGTTTGTATGGGGGGATGTTTGCACAATCTGGTGAATGTAGTTAATGTCACTGAATTAGGTATTCATTGATCCTTCAGTGGGTTTTCAGAGGCTGTAAACTGCAAAGGAGAAGACTGTCTATCTTTTCCCCACAAAATAATGGGTAGAATAGATCCACTGGAGAGACACCTACTTTCGGCTAACAGCACAACTTCCTACAGACTACACCACCAGAGCTACGTACCCCAACTCCTCATTTATTGACATGGTTGATTTCCAAAGACTAGGTCATTATGCAAAAATTGACATTGTGAAAATATTGAGGATGACCACATTGCAGCACAAAGTGAAGGATTATCACATACCGTCAAACTCTTTGGAATCTTGACACAGTCAAGCTGGCAAAACCTTAACACACTGTAGACGGAATTACTCTCACTTCACACCTTGATATTTGTTACTGCCGGATGTGTAACACTACTATGCAAACCAGCTAAGAGAAGACATTTTTACTGTTGGAAATGCAAAATGTTGGATATTGAGATATCAGTGAGGAGTCGTTGTATAATGATGAAATGGCAAGCATTTTGTTATTTGCGTTTTATCACAAGAAGATATAAACATATGGCTAAACAGTAAATTCTGCATTATAAATATCGTACACAACGGAAAGATGAAAGAAGTCCCCAACCAAGCTAAATACAATATGCAGCCCTGGCTTGGATCCAAGAACAGAGAAAGGCCTTTCCTGCAAAAACAAGTGAAATTGAAATAAAATCTGGAGCTTAGTTAACAACTGTGATCCAATGTTATTTTCTTCATTGTCATCAATGGACTGTGGTCACATAAGATGTTAAACTTGGAGGAAGCTGGGTGAGGGATACTAGAGAAACCTCTGGACTAGCTTCGCAATTTTTCTAAGAATCTAAAATAATTGCAAAAAAGTTTAAGCGTTTATATAAGACATTATTTTATGAAGCAAAATTCTGACTTCAAAGTATGGCTGTGTTTGGTGTTGGGGGTCAGGAGGGTTCAGTTCAGGACCCAGCTGAGCACGTATGCTCTGTGGGATCCTGAGGTGGTCTCTACCACCCTGGGCCTCAATTTCCTCATCTGCAAAAGGGGTTAAGAAGCTCTACAGCAAAATGTGTTGTTATTGTTGTGTGCTTTCTAGTCAGAACTGACCCATAGCTAACCCTCCAACAGATTTTCTGAAGTAGTTCATTGTACGGGAGGAGATTGCCCATCCTCCCGCAAAGCAGCTAGTGGATTTGAACCGTGTGCCTTTGGGATTGTAGAGCAGCTTCTTACCACTAGCCCATAAGAGCTCCCTCAAAAAAGTATGTTAGGGGACTAGAATGAAAATATAAAGAGCTATCACTTCTTATCACCTGGCCCTGATGATCTCATACCCATTTACCTAATGGAGAAATTGAGGCTCAGGAAGGGGCACTGTGTTGACCTCAGAAACCTCCCAGTCTGAAAAAGGAGGCAGTGACTGCAAGCCAGAGGCTAAGAACGCATGTCTCCCTCCAGAGTGGAGACCACACAGAGGCTCAGCTTTGCTGATGGGGGCAGGTGGGCATAGAGGGCCTTGTGTATACTTTTTGTTGTATTTGCAAATAATATATTGTGATTCTGGATTTTTGTATCAACTATGACTCTGTAATATCACTTCTATAATGATCGTAAACCACATGTACGTGATTTATTATATGGAAATGGAAAACGTCTGAGCTTAGACAGACCTTAGACTTTAGTCAAGAATGCTGTCAAGAACATTAAAGTTGGCCTTCCCTCTGCATGTGATAATAAAAGAAAGCATACTATAGTTCATTTTCAGGGAGCTCTGGTGGTCTAGCCAATAGGCAATTTTGGTGCTAGACTGCTTCTCTAGTGGTTCAATCAAATCCATCAGCCACTTGGAGGGAGAAAGATGGACAATCTCCTCCCATGTGACTTACAGCTTCTGCAAACCCACTCGGGGGTCAGCTCTGAGTCACTTCCAACTCAAAGACACTGAGTTCGAGTCTGGAGGAGTTTTGGGGGGTTTTTTGTTTTGGTTGTTTTTTTTTCTTTCTCCCCTTTCCTTTTTATTATTATTAATTTTAATGAAAATTTACATAGACTTTGGATTTCCATTCATTCATTGTTGCACTTTTCTCCCTGCCCACCCCTTCCTCTAGTTCACTCTTCTCTTTGAAAAGTAAAAGAAAAATTCTTTCATTGTTATACAATCCCCCCCACTCCCAAGTCCACTCCACTGTGCAGCCTTCATTCTGGACTCCTGTCATTACAATAATACCTAATCATATATCCCCTTTAAACAGTTCTCTCCCTCATCAGTTTCAATGCAGTATATATAATTTTATCCCATCTTTTTCTCCATCTCCCCCCACCCCAATATCAGTCCCTTTTTACAACAGTGACATTATGCAGCATTTGTCCTTTTGTGATTGAGATATTTCACTAAGCATAAAATCCTCCAGGATCACCCATTTTGAATAATATTGCATGAGTTCCTTGTTTTTCAATGCAGCATAGTATTCCGCTGTGTGAATATACCACAGCTTCTCTATCCATTCTTTTGTTGATGGGCAGGCACTTAGGTTGATTCCAACTCTTTGGTATTGTAAACAAAGCCATGATAAAGATAGGTGTGCATTGTTTTGGTTTTTTGAGTTGTTTGGTTTGTGGGGTTTTTTTGTCATCTTTGTAACCTACAGAGAAATTAATCTAAAGAACTTTCCTACTCTTTAACTTTGAAGAAGAAAAAAAATGAGCCATTTGGGTGATCTCTGACCCTGGAGAGAAGACATAGCATAATAACTAGCCTTTGACATCACACTGATGTTTGTGTGAAGTCAAGGTGAGGAATTCACATATAAGCCTTTAATTTCTGCTGAGAAAAGACAGACCTGGAACTTCTCTGTGTGCCTGGCTCTCTCTGAAGACTGAGGTGGTACTGAAATCCTGACCCCTCCCACCAGCCTCACAGCCTCACGGGCCCAGCTGGGAGAGCCCTCAGCAAATCTGAGTCATGGTCCACAGTCCTTGCAAAAGGTTAATGCCGAAAAAATAAAGACTGGGGTTCCAAACACTGAACTTATATAGCCTCTTATATTGAGTCTCCAGGTCTAGATTGATGCCTTAAGGTTTTACCTGTACGCCTTGCTGTAACTACCTTGCAATACACTGAATGACTTTATGTGTGTCAAATGCAAGTAATTTTGAACTTATTTTAAAATTTAAAAAATTCCTGCCCAGGAGGGACTTGCTGAACAATGAATGTCAGGATGTGTGGATGGGCAGCTTGGACCCTGCAGGCTGGGAGGGGTTTGCAAGCACGGAGACAGAGGTGAAATCTTTCAGGGGAGGGGATAGCCTGGACAAAGGCAAGGAGGCTGGAAACCAGGGACCTGGTGGCCATTCAGAAGGGGCCCAAAAGAAACAGAGACAGACAAGGTGCTGGCATCAACTCAGCCAGACTGAGAGTTAGAGTAATGGGGAGCCATGGAGGGTCTGTGAGCGAGAGAGGCTATGCTCACTTCCAAGTGTCAGAGAGTCGCTCAGGGGTGGGGCACGGGCCAGAGTGGAGGATGACAGCGAGGTTTGAGAATGATTTGAGGTTGTGAAGTTGCACTGGGGAAGGATCCATGCCCACCCTGAGCCAGAGCATAAACTCACCAACTTCCAGGGGCTTCCGGGGGTCCGGCGTCGAAACTGCACCTCAGCCTTGTCCTGGTGTGCTGGAGTCTCCCACTCCATGAGCAGCTCCCCTGCTGCCCTCGATTTCTCGATGTCTTGTGAGGAAGGTGGGTCATATTTAACTGAAAGCAGAGGTGCCAAAGGGAAGGGCAATCAGGACGTGAGTGAATCGCTAGGCACTTACTTGGACCCAGCTAACCACCCAAGTCCTCCAAACATGAAACAGATACCCCTGCAGCCTGAGGTGCTTCGGTGCCAACAGCCAGATGTCCACAAAATGTCTCATCAGCGAAGAAAAAACCCACAGCTGTCGATTGCAGATCATGGCAACCTTCCATTAAGTTTCCAAGGCTACAGATTTTTATAGAAGGAGACTGCCTCCCAAACAGTGACTAATAGATTCAAACCACCAACTTTTCAGTTAGCAACTCAACATATAACACACACACAGTATGCCACCAGGCCTCATGAGCAAACAAAGCTTTAAAATATTAATACTAAAAAATATTAATACTTATTGCTTGCCAAGCTGTGGTGAGACAAACACTTTGGTGAATTGCTGGTGAGAGGATAGCATTAACCTCTATCTCTCTGGAGGGCTAGTAAGAAGAAATTAGGAAGATGGCACAGGACGTGGCAAGATCTGTTGTCCATGGAGTCTCTGGCTATGAGCGAGAGATGACCTGACAGTCCCTGACAATATCAGCATTAAGAGACTTGACAATGCTATAGATTAATTTCTAGCAGCCTGAGCTAAGGAGAGACATCTGTTATCCTTTCTGTACCTTGAGCAATCATGGTAGATTCATCCCTACATTTATTCCTGCTAGCTCCTTTTAATCCTTCAGGGCTCAGCTCAGACGTCACCTCCGAGCCCTATAAATCCCTCACCACCTGGATGCATCCTATCTTGTCCATTGGCACCATGTGAATTTGAGCCCCCAAAAGATGGACAGAGCCATCCAAGTGAGGCAAGTCAAGCAAGGTTGTTATGAAAAGAACAACAAAACAATGAAAATGCAAGTTTGAACTTTGATTCAAATTTTGATATTTTGCTTATCATGGCCTTTTTTTTACATTAAATTGTGTTGGTTTTTTTAATTTTATTTTATTATTTTTGTGTGAGTGTACCCTCAAATCAGATCTAACTGGTACAGGAGGAGATTGTCCCTCCTTCCCCGGCAGAGCATCTGGTGGATTTGAACCGTGCACCTCTGGGACTGTAGTTGCAGCTCCTTACCACTAGGCCACCAGCGCTAGCATTCATACTGACTGTTGAGTTTGTCATTGGTTATGGATTGGATTGAATTGTGTCCCCTGCAGAACACATGTTGAAATTTGTGGGTCAGTGTTTATAAACCCCATATGAGAGTGGGCTGTCCTGGTTACACTAATGAGACAGGATTAGTACAGGGTTGTTTTAAATCCATTTCTTTTGAGGTTTAAAAGAGATTAAGCAAGTCAGTGAGAGAAGCTGCCATGGTCACACAGTGATCTCTGAGGAAACAAGAAGCAGAAGTTAAAGAGACAAGGACTCTCCTCCAGAGCCATCAGGGAGGGAAAGCCTTCCCTAAGAGCTGCTGCCCTGAATTTGGACTTTCCATTAAGGCTGTAAGAAAACAAACTTCTGTTCCGTAAAGCCTTCCACTTGTGGTTTTTCTGTTATGTGTGTTGTGTGCCATCTAGTCGGAACCGACCCATAGCTGCCCCTCTAGGGAGTTTTCAGGTTGCACAGGAGGAACAGCTGGTGATTCGAACCACGTGCCTTTGGGTTGGCAGCGCGACTCCTTACCACTAAGCCATCAGAGCTCCCATTATCCTGTTATAGTAGCACGAAGAAACTGAGATAGTGTCCAAGGTGCCTGCTTTTTCTGCCTCACCCTAGGAGCAGTGTGGGGCAGTGACCTTACTGACCATGCCATGTCCCTGTGACTGTGGCTGTGTGGCCCCCACATTGGTTCTGACTCATAGCAACCTTGCACTGCACAGTAGAAACTGCACCCTCAGCATTTCAAAGGCTGTAATTGGTGGTCGTGGATTGCCTGGTCATTTTCTTACTGATTGATGGTGGACTGGGGCCCCTGACCTTTCAGTTAGCGGCTGGGTGCTATAGCCATTGCATCACCAGGGCCCCTGGCGATAGAATCCCCTGAGTCCAGGCCAGGGGACCCAAGGGCACAGAGGACACAGAAAGTAGACAGGAATCCAGACAAGGTGCTGACCAAATGTGTTGAGTATCAGGGAAATCTTAGGGGACTTCTCTGTCCTGTTCTGGATCCGGGACTCCACCCAGAGCTCAACGACGCTGAGCACAGGTACGCCATCCTGGTCGGTGAAATTCAGGCCGGTGGCCGAGCCTGTGCTGAAGTAGCAGCAGCGAAGGCTGGAGCTGCAGGGCGAAAAAGAAAAATAGGTGATGATGCGTCTAGAGCCTACTGGACCCCAAGATGTCAGGTGTCATGGAAGTTTTTGTGTGTGGTAAGAAGCAGCACTACAATCCCAAAGGCACACAGTTCAAATCCACCAGCTGCTCAGAAAAAGGATAGACAATCCAATCCCCTCTTGTGTGGTTTACTGCCTCTGAAAATCCATTGGAGAGTCAGTTATGAATTGGTTTTGACCTGATGGCACACGACAACTATAACATGGGGGCTCCTTGGCTTGAGATTTAGGATGTTAGAGGAATCCCAAAATCTCCCAGCATGGGAAGCCAGAGAGGCAGGGAAGAAGAAATTATGAAGGGATGGATGAATGGATGATGGAGGGAGTGAAGATAAAGGAAATACTAAAGCAACCCTCCGTACCACCCACTCTGGGATGCTCATCCCTGCTCACCCCACACCACAGAGGCCCACTCCTCCCTTCTCAGATGAGAAACTGAGGCATGAGACTAAACAATTACCAGGCCCAGGTCATGCACCTGAGACCAGGGTCATTGGAGTGCAGGACCAAGGTCAGGATGGTGGAAGGTTTGAAGATGAAAGTGGGGTTCTTACCAGCACCTCAAGAAGTGGCTGACACCAGTCTTGGGACCCTCGTACTGCCAGGAACACTCATAGTTACCCGAATTGACTATCCGATGGCAGCTCAGGTTCCGGGGACCTGAGGTTGAGCCTGAAGAAGATTCCAGAGGTTTGAGAACAGACCAAGGTGTGAGGGGGTGGCACTGTGGGGTTCAGCGCTGACAGGAAGAATTCTTGTAACACTTTGGTTTCACTTCAGACCACAGCAGTTCTCAGCATCCTCCCTGCCCTTCCCCACTTCTCTCCTCTCCTCTCCCTGCTCACTCTACTCCAGCCTCCTGACTGGCCCCCAAACACAGCAGGTTTGCTCCTACCTCATTTGCACATGCTCCAGTGTGCTTCTCCCTGATCTTCTTTTGCATGTTAATTATTACAGTGCATACACACTTTCATAAAGGATACACATGAAGGAACTTGCTGGGCAAGAACTGGGAGGCCTCCCACTGTGGACTTCCATGTCCCCCAAAAGGATGCCTCCTTCCCACAGGCGCTGATATCTTTCACCAACTGGGAAGCTCCCTTGATCTAGCATGCTAGTTTCTCCTATGTCACTTCCCTCTCCACTAACCACCAGCCCAGAGCAGCCTTCTGTCTTCTCCTAACTGTAAAAAAGACTTTAGGCTGGTCCATCTTCAGCGTTGTTGTTGTTGTTATGTGCCATCAAGTGACCTACGACTCATAGCGACCCTATGTACAACAGTTCCAAGCCCTGCTCTATTCTGAGCCAACCTCATTGTATCTGACACACCTATCCCCATTTTCCCAGTCACTAATCCATCTCATCCAGGGTCTTCCTCTCCTGTGCTATCCCTCCACCCTTCCAAGCATGATGTTCCTCTCCAAGGACTAGCCCCTCCTTGCAACATGCCCGAAGTATGTCAGACAGAGCTTCAGAATCTTTGCCTCCAAGGAGCAGCCTGGCTTCACCCTCTCCAGGACTAGCTTCAGAGTAGGGAGAACAAAAAGCAGGAGAAATGAGTCACAAGTGGACCCAAAAGAAACAAATAGTTAACTGACTTGATAAACTACAGAGACTCTGGGATGTTTGAAACAAGGGGGGAAGGGAGAGAAAGACTATTGGAAAAAAAGGTTAAAAATAAAATAAAGAAGCCTCTGAAATGTGTACCCAAACAAAATAAAGAGAGAAGGGAGAGATGAAGGTTGTAAGAAAAAGGGAGATAGGCGAGCTCTGGTGGCCTAGTGGCAAGGAGCTGCACTGCAATCCCAGAGGTGGGAGGTTCAAATCCACCAGATGCTCTGCTGGAGAAGGAGGAACAATCTCCTGTACCAGTCAGATCTGATTTGACAGTACACACACATCATCATCACCATCATCATCATAAAAGGAGATGAAATATAGCTTACATCCAGGAAAGTCTGTAACACCCCTCAATATTCAATTAACAGGAACTGAGGAGGAAGTGGGATGGGGGGAGGGATTTGTGAGTTAGGATAGAAACTCTTGTCATCCTGCAGAAAGTGTGCCAGTCTGCTTCTCTGTCAGGCCTGAGTGCCCGATTTTGCAAAATGGCCTGATAAAGCCCCACTCTCGCTAAAGTGAGTTTTAGACTGGATTCCATAAATGCTTGTCAGGTCAATGCTCTGAGAAACTTATCAGCAAGCTCATATGGGATATGGCGGCCGGAAGACACTTCTCCCAGCTTGGAAGCAGCCTGGTCAGGGGATGATATTGACCCGCCAGTTGCCAAGGGGAGCAGAGACACTATCCTCGGTACTGACAGCATTTTTCACAGTAACCCGCTCAGTTTTTCTTTTTTTTTCTTTCTTTTTCTCGGTTTTTCAAAGCTTGTGTGACCACTCATTGCACGCAGTCTGTGTATTTATGTGCTTATCTCTACTCCTTCACTCATCTATCGATCCGTCCACTTGCCCCCTGACCACACTGTGGGCTGGGCTCACAGTGGATTCCATCATGCCTAGAAGTGTGCCTGCACATAAGAGGTGCTCAGTAAATCTTTTCTGAAAAACAGAGTGTAGAAAGTGCCTGCTCAGTTCCAAACTCCTTGAGGCGTATGTTATAAGCACAGATACTCCAGCAATAGTTCCCTGGGATGAAAGAGTTCAATGAAATGTTGTGTCCGTGTGCTGACCCATCTGAAGTGATTCAGGCCTCAGTCCATGAGACTTAGGGGGAAGATTCAGGCTTACGGAGGGGCATGACTGCTATCAGACACCATGAGCCTGGCTGAGGGTGGACCAGCAGCCTGTAGGTGGAGTGTCTGGAAATCCAGGCAGGCCAGGACTTTGGCTAGGAGGGAGAGGACTGCTGGAGATGAGTTGTACACAGCCCAGTGTGAATGCCCTCAGAGCTGCTCCGAACCTGACTCTGTGTCTGGGTACGGTAGGTCCTGGAAACAGCAGCCACTGGATCTGCAGGCTCCAGCTGCAAAGACAATGAAGGGATGATGATGTTTCCAGTCTCACAAGATGTGAAGAGAGGTACCCAGCCTGTGGGTCTTCATGCAACTGACCATCTCCTAATCATCTGTGCACCCAGCTGCCATCCATCCATTAATCCACCTGTCCACCCAACCACCATCCAGCCATCTATTCACCTGGCCATCTGTCCATTTATCCACCCATCTTCTCACCTGCTCATTCCTCGTTTATCCATCCATCCATCCAGCATCAGTTTATCCATTCATTCACCCATTTGACCATCTGCTCAGTCAGTTATCCTGGTAGCCAGCCACTCACATATCCATCAACCAATTCTATCATCTATCTATCCACTCATCCAACCACCACCATCCACCCCCCACTCATCCACCCATGTTGTTATTCTTATGTACCATTAAGTCAGAAGAGACCTATAGCTGACTTTCCAGAGGGAATAAATTACACAGGCGGCGAGTACCCATCTTCCTCTCATGGAACAGCTGGTAAATTCAAAGCACCTGCCTTTGTGTTGGCAGTACAACTCCTTACCACTAAGCCACCATACACATATCCATTTGTGCATCTATAATATACATACATACATACATACATACATTCATACATCTGTCCATCCATCCATCCATCCATCCATCCATTCAACTATCCATCCATCCATCCGCCTACTCATTAATTCATACACATGTCCATTTGTAAATCTACCCATCCATCTATTGATCCAAACATCTATCTATCTATCCATCCATTCATCCATTTGTCCATCCTTAATCCATCCATTTGCCCTTCAATTCACCCACCATTTATCAGCCATTGGCCTCTATAATATATAAATTCCCCAAATGGATACAGATATATAGTTGAGTTCCTATGGGGAGCTCACTCTAGAAAAGAGAACAGAACAAAATGATACCTAAAAAAAAACAAAAAAATTCCAAGCCAGGAAGACAGACAGCCTTGTCAGTGTTGAGAGAAGTGAGCTGTGCCTGGGGCACCAGCCATGCCTGGAGCCGGTGTTTGGGCAGACAGAATATAGCTGAGCCCTGAACAGATGGGCTGGGGTCACAGTAGTGGGCAGCAAGGGGATGAGGGGGTTTGACCTCATACCCAGGAATGCCAGAGACTCCTGGGTGGGGGGATTACTGCTAGATTAGAATCCTGTGGGAGAAGACAACACCCGAAAAGCAGGACTGTGTGACCTGACTGTGAAGGAGGACTCTGGGCTCTCTGCACCCCGTTTCCCTCTGTGGCACCACAGCTCACCCCATGGTCTGAAACTTTCAGTATACCTCCTGCCTTCCTCCATGAATAGCCATCCACTGCCACCAGATCTGAACCCTGTCCTGTCCTGTGCCATCCGCACAGTCTCTGACCCACTCGAGTCCATTGCTACGCTCACTGTCAACCCACCTGGTTGAGGGTCTTCCTCTCCTTCGCTGACCCTCCATCTTTCCAACAATGATGTCCCTCTAGAAATAGCCTCTCCTAGCAACATGTCCAGAATGTGTAAGACAAAGCTTCACCATCCTCACCACCAAGGAGCACAGCTGGCTTCACCTCATCCGAAGATACATACCTGTATATATTACACGTATCTGTTCTAATGAGGGCAGTGGTGGGATTTATACTTTGTATCCAGAAGACATAGGTTGTCTCCCCAGCAATGAGCCTCATGTGTAGGCACCACCTGTCGGCCCTTGGAGGCTTGTGTGTTCCCAGGATACTGAACTAGTTTCAGTGGTGCTTCTAGACTAATATAGACTGGGAAGAAAGGCCTGGAAAATGACCTCCGAAATGAAGCCAAGGAAAACCCTGAAAAATCTGAAAGTTCAGTTCACAATGATCTAGGGCTGGAAGGTGACTGGCCTGGGTAGTAATTCTTTCTGCTACGTACATAGATGTCATGAGTCAGGCTGACCCAACAGCATCTGACAAGGACAACAATGGCATATCTGTTACATGCACCCTTGTTCTTTAGCTCCTTCCTATCCGCTATGAAATAGGAAGAATTCAGTGTTCCCCACAGAAGAGAAAATCAAGACCTCAACTCTAAGCCCAGAGCCCAGAGGGGTGGCCATCACTGATGTACCCATTTGGTGGAAAGAAAAGACTGAGGCAGAGAGACAGAGCCAAACCTCAACCTGGAGTCCACGGCTCGCCACACTCACACACACCTGATACCATCAGCGAGAGAAGCCAGGCTCGGCATTGGGGTACTCACCATCTTGCCTGGGGAGGAGGAGGAGGACGGGCAGGGCCAGCCTGGCCACAAGGCACCTCATTGGTTCCACGTGGAGCAGCAGCCCAGGCAAACTCCTGAACCACCAGCGAGGCCCGAGCCTCCCCCTCCCCGCCCCAGAACACATTAAAGCTGAGCAAGAAAGAAAATTGAAAGAAGAAAGAGGGAGGAAAAATGCAAGCTGTGACTGCTCTTCCGGGAACATGTCAAAGTGCAATAAAACCCCAGGAAGTCAGCTCAGAGGTGGGAGCCTCCCTCTACCACAAACCCACCTGACCAGGGGACACCATGCCAGGCCCTATGGGCTTCTGGTATCTGCACACACTGGTTTCCAGCCTTTTCTGGACCCAGAAGGGAGCCCAAGGTACTAGAGGTCTGAGTTCCTTTATCAGGAAGCACCTTCTGTGTATTGGAGGACAAAAAGATGCCCCCCATACCCTGTCTCCAAAACCCCAGCATTGGAACACTCTGGATCTCAACAACTGATCCTGGGTTCTTGCCTCGTAAAGAATCCCTTCCTTCACCCACAAAACTATGATTCATGTGACAACATGGACCAGCCTGTAAAATGTCATGTGGAGGATGATGCAGAAGTAGATCAAGAAAGTAAATAGAATTTCCGTGACTGCAGATCATTCCGAATAACAACAACAAAGCATCATAAAGAGTGAAGGAAGCCACGCACAACCATGGACACCTGATTCCACGTATATGAAATATCTAGAACAGGTAAAGGTGTAGAGACAGAAAATGGACTAGTGGTTGCCTATGACTTGATGGAATCCCTTGGTGGTGTAAATGGTTATGTGTTAAACTACCTGTAAGGTTGGTTGTTCGAATTCACCCAGAAACACCTTGGAAGAAAGGCCTGGTAATCTGCTTTTGAAAAGTACGGCCTTGGAAACCCTGTGGGGTCGTTCTCACCACTCATGGGGTCACCACTAGTTGGAAACACCTCATCAGCAAATAACAACAGCAGCTTAGGAGAGAGACAGCTAATGGGTACGGAATTTCCGTTTGATGGGTGATGAGAATGTTCTGGAACTAGTCAGAGGTAGTGGTTACACAACTTGCTGAATGGACTAAATGCTGCTGAACTGTGCACTTTAAAACAGTACATTTTATATTGTGTGAATTTCATCTCAATTTTTAAAATGTCAACAGAGCTCAAGGCAACAAAGGAGAGGGGTGAGGGTCTCTCCTCAGGGATGGCATGGGGGGGCTGCCACGTGACCCACCTCCTCCTCCGGGGAGGCCAGCTGAGCAGTAGCCGGGTCGGGCAGGGTCATGCGTCCAGCAGTCCATGAGGTCAGCGCCACACGGACAAAGAGGCAGTGTCCCTGGCCTGGCACAGGAGGAACTGGGGCCCGTGACCCTACACAGGGCAGCTTTCATGGGCCACAGGGTCCAGGCCAGGGCGAGGAGATGGGAATATTGATGTGTGAGGCTAGGGGGAGAGGCAGAGAGAGAGAGAGAGGAATGGAGAGAGAGAGAAAGAAACAAATACAGAGCTAAGAGAAGCAGAGATGGCAATTAGAGAAAGATAGATAGAAATATAAAAAAATAAGAGAGAGGTGGAATACCTGGGAATTCTCCTTCGATTATCCCGAGACCCTTATCCTAGGAGGCTCCAGTGCCTACCCATTTCACAGATGTGTAAACTGAGCCCCAAGGATCTGGCTGAACGTGAAGATATAGACGTGGACTCTGAACCTGAGCAAGCCTGGGGCTGAGTTTCCCTTGTGAGAGTGAGGTCTAAGCTCCAGGTCTACCCTACATGATGTCTCTGCCTCTGCTTACCCTTCTGCAAAATGGGCTGTTGTGAGGATGAAGGAGGGAGGCACTGAGGGCTCCAGGTGGATGTCGGTATGATTATTGTTATCATTGTTGTCCCCTTTCACAGAAGGTGGAGAAGCCACTGGGTTTCGTCTGCAGAGGAAAGACTGAAAGAGAGGGTAAATGCCAGACACAGATGCACCTTGGGTCAGGGCTGGGGCTGGGAGGGACAGGGGATAAGGATACCCTGAGGGAAAACAGGACTGCCTGGAAGAGGAGGCACTTGAGCTGGGACTGACAGAACTAATGGACGTTTCAGGTAGACTGAGGCAAAGGCAGGAGATATGTGGCTGGTCTCCATGTGGAGAGGAAACTGTCATTATGGTCAAAGACTTTGAATGTTGGGCTGAGGGACTCAGATTTCTCCCAAGGGCACTGGGGAGCCATGCGGGTGTGCGAGCAGAGGAAACCACAGCCATGCCTGAAGTGATGTTTCCACCCTTATTGGGGTCACAGTCTAGAGCTCACTGAGGTTCACCACACCCACCTACCGTGGCTAGCTCCTCCGGAAAACCCTGTGGGGCTCCTTAGTGGCCCCTCCCAGTAGCCCCAAAAGCACAGCTGGAATAGGACTTCAGGCTGCCCCACTTTGCCCAGCCCCACACACTGGGCGAGGGAAGGCTGGCAGGTTGCAGCAGGTCACAGGGGCCCCGGAAATTGTGACAGGAGGAACCACAGGGCCTCCCCACCCTCTCAGCTCTGCCTCCTTTCCAGGGAAAGCGAATTTTTGTGTGAGAAGGGTAAAGCCTCCTTCCACGTGACCAAGAGACCCTGAGCTTGAGCAGTATCTAAGGAGGAGGCTGAAGATGAAGTCAGCGTTTGCAAGTAGAAAATCTATTAGTACATATAGCAATTACATTGAAACATGTCTCTCACCAATAAGAACATCTTTCATTCGTCATTCAACACAGGCTTTCTGATGTTTGCAGAGGATGGAAGTGGAAGTAATTTTAACAAATACATAAAAGTTAACAGGGGCTGGGAGAATCATTTGTTCATTCAACACACTCCTTGGTGCCCTTTTTTTAATTTTAATTTTTTTATTTGAAGATAATAAAGTATTTGTAACAAATATGGTATTATATGCTTTAAATCACCTGTTCAAATCATTAGAGAAAAATAGAAAGCCTAAGGCCAATTGCATACATAGAGAGACGACACTGAGACCCAGAAAGGAGAGAGTCACTGAGTAAAGGTCACACTGCTAATTGGTAGCTGCGACATTTAGAACTTTTCTTCTTTTTTTAGAAAACACACTTCCACAAAAATTGAAAGTAAAATCGAACCTCAAAAACTTGACAAAGTGAAGAGATTCCGTGGGATGAGTGAAAGATTCAGACCCGGATAGGAGTGGGGCTGTAGCAGGCAGTAGAGAAGAGTGAATGGTATGGGTCTTTGATGTACTTGCTAGGGAAACTTTCCAAGAGACCCTCCTCGATCTTCAGATAGACAGTGAGCCAATCTGCTTAGGAGGACATGTAGGAGAGTTGGTTGACTTTGCAAGTCAGCTCAGTAACTTTTTATCTTCGTGATCTCTACTTCTCGGTATCTCAGATGCCTCAACTGAAAAGATCAGCAAAATAATAGACTTCTTCACAACTCATTGTGCATGTTAAAACGTTAATCTTCTTTTTTCTTTTTTTAATTATGATTAATTTTAATGAAAATTTACAGAGACTTAGGATTTCCATTCATTCATTGTTGCACTTTTCTCCCTGCCCACCGCTCACCCCCAGATCGCTCTTCTCTTTGAAAAGTAAAATTCTTTCATTGTTATACAATCCCTCCCTCCATGTCCACTCCACTATGCAGCCTTCGTTCTGGACTCCTGTCATGACAATAACACCTAATCATATATCCCTTTTAAACAGTTCTCTCCCTCATCTGTTTCAATGCAGTATACATAATTTACCCCATCTTTCTCAGTCTCTCCCCAACCTTGATGTCAGTCCTGTTTTATAACAGTGGCACTATGCAGTATTTGTCCTTTTGTGACTGAGATATTTCACTCAGCATAATGTCCTCCAGGGTGGTCACCCATTTTATATAATATTTCATGAGGTTTTTTTTCTTTTCAAAGCAGTATAGTATTCCATTGTGTGACTATACCACAGCTTCTCTATCCATTTATTTGTATGGATGGGCACTTAGGTTGTTTCCAACTCTTTGCTATTGTGGACAAAGCTACAATAAACATGGGTGTGCATATACTTGCTTGGGTGGCGGTTATGGTTTCTTTGGGGTATATTCCCAGTAGTGGAACTGC